GCCAGTGCCGGAGGGGCTCCCAGGTTCTCGACAAGGGGTCTGGTCAGCTGAGCTAGCTGAAGCGCACACAGCGAGCGCTCTCAGCTCATAGCCAACGTGGGTAGTTCAAGCTCAGCTCATGCCAGAGCTTTGCCTGATCTGTAATAAGTCTTTGGGGAACAGTGAAATGCTGTAGAGGCTTTTGTGAACTTTCGGGATCCAGTTTTTTCACTTTCCCCCTGGAGTTGGCTCAGTGGCTCAGGATGCGGCACAGCGTGGCAGCATCTCCCCTTTGGAGCCTGCTCCACGACCTGCCCCATTAGAGCTGGGCACGGCGGGACTGTCAGGGACAAGGGCCAGTGCTGAGGGAGTCAGCGAGTCCCTGCGTCCGGCCTCCCGCGGTGACTCTGCCCCTCACAGGGGCCGGCTGGTGGCCTTAGTGCTTGTCCCTCGCAGTGAAGGCCTCGTTGATGGCGAGGGGCGCTGGTCAAGGGGCGCAGCACGTGCCCACGCGTGAGCCGCGCTGCAAGAGTGAAGCGCTGAAAGCGGCTGTTAATTACAATGCTTATTAATATTAATTAGGGATATTATTAAATAATTGATGATGACTAATAATTATCACTCCAGTGAGTAGCATCTCCCCTTACGCCTGCTCCCTGGGTTTGGGTGGCCATGGCCATGGGGAGGGAGGGAGCCCAGCTGGGCCACCCTGTGCTGAGGGTGGACAAGGAAGAGCCGGGCCCTTGGGGCTCCTGGTGGCCGTGGCCACCCAGGTTGGGGACGGCTGGTTCCGTGCTGCCATCTGCCGGTGCTGGCCGTGCTGAGCGCCGGCCCCGTGCCAAGACGGGCCCCGGCCTTCCTTAGGGAAGCGGCCTTCGGAAGCAGCACCCCGACACCCTGAGCACGGCCCCGCTGCCGAAGGAGGGGGTGCCGTCCCCGCAGGTCTCTGCTGCGGCCGCTTGCTCTGCTCTGGTGCCCAAGGTGCTGCTGCCCCGGCCTTTCTGGTTGTCACGATCCTATGTGCTAATTCCCTTGGTAGCGGTGGCCACGCTGTCCTGCAGAGGCTGCACAGGTTCTTCCGCTGTCCTGCTTGTCAGTAACTTCTGCCTCCCGTGCTCCCCCAGATTGTAATGTAGCAGATCCTGCAATGTCCACGGCCTCGCAGCTTGGTCCAGGGTCCAACCCACTGCCCACCCTGAACGAGACCAGTTCTTCCAGCGCACCTCACGGCGCTGCGCCAGGCTTACGGCCGGACGGTGCCGCAGGCGGAGGCGGCGGAGCAGGGAAGCAGCCCTCGCAGTTTGTTTACGTCTTCACCACGCACCTTGCTAACACGTAAGCAGAAAACTCTGTCCCTCCTCCGCTGGCGTGGGACTGACCCGTCACGGCTGCCTGCTGCTACAGACTGTGCTTGACTAGAGGAGAGCAGGGCAGGCCCCGTGTCCCTTCAGGTGCTCTGAGTGGGTCTCCACGGAGGTCCAGGAGTCTGCTGGCAGCTGCTGCAGAGGGCTAAGCCTTGTCCGAAGTGCACGTTTCCTCCCAGCAGTGCCCAGCACGGCTTCCTGCGTGGTGCACTGCGGGGTATATCTAGTCAGCATCTAATTAAGAAGGTTGTCTGGAGCAGCGTGGGCTGCTCCCTGGGCAGTGGCCCGTAACGCTCGGTGTTCTCAGCACCGTTCCTCTCCTCTCCTTTGCATGGGCTCAGTTGTGGAGCTTAGGCAGACCGCTTAGTTTTAGAGCTCTCTGTTAGCTCCCGGAGGCTGCGTGGTAGGTCCCAGATCTTGGCTACCAACGCCTTCGGGGCAGCAGGCACGACGCAGAGTACAGCGCCCAGTTCTAGCTACGGGAAGAAGGAAGTTCTAAGGTTCTCATCTTCCATTGGAGACGCTCCCTGGGGCCTGAACAGGACAGACAGGAGGTCTCTGAGGATATTCCCCTTTTCCCACAGGACTGAGAAGTGGAGGTGGGACCTGGGGACCAGAAGCGGGGGGATGGCGATGGGCCACAGCGCTTGTCTGTTCCTGAGTGGTTTGCGTTCTCTCCCCAGAGCTGCAGAAGCTGTCCTGCAGGGCCGAGCTGACTCCATTCTGGCCTATCATCAGCAGAATGTCCCACGGGCGAAGCTAGACCAGGTATTACGAGCCGTGAACCAACGTTCCTCCTGTCGGCACACGCTGCTGACTGATATGCCCTCGCTTCTGACGTGGCCATTCTCACCCTGCCGGGCTCAGCTGTGAAGGAAGGGCTCTTCAGAGTCCCCTTTCAGTGGTGAGAGAAGCTGCTTTGCTGCAGGACCTCTTTGGAGTGACTCCTGGCTGCTGTCAGCTATGATAAGTTTGGGATGGCTGCTGTGCGTGGCCTGCGACCGCATGGGCACAACACCCACTCGGGCATTTCCGCAGCACCCGGGGCATGCAGCAGGGCCAGCTCCTTCCCCACAGGGAAGGAAGGCAGAGCTGCCCCGCGGCGTGTTTCTGGGCTGCAGCAGCCTCCCGCAGGGTGGAGGGAAGAGCAGCCGCCTCGAGTTTTCCCGCTCACTTTGGCTTCCCCTTTCTCTGCCAGGCGCCGGCTCCTAAAGTGCTGGGGGTGGCCGAGCAGCTGCCGATCAACCCGCCCGCTGCCAACACTCCGCCGCCGCAGCCGCCCGCGGGCAAAGGGGCCGCCGAGGATGTCCGCAGGGATCTGACTCCCAACTCTCTGGGGAACAGCAGCAGCAGCAGCCAGCCGGGAAGCAACCACCCCAATGCCCCCACGGCCTCTGGCAACGCCATGCAGCCTGGGCAAGCGGAGTCTCCCGCCGCTTCCAGCTCTGGCCTCCTGGGGGAAGGCCCAGGCTCCGGAATGCCGGGCAATGGGCCGGCGGGCCTGGGCTCCAGAAACCCCATGAACTCGGAAGGGCTCTCTAAGGAGCAGCTGGAGCACCGGGAGCCCCCCCCGAGGGCGGCCCTGCCCCTCCGCCGCAGGCTGCCCCCGCGCAGCCCCCCGCGCCCCCCACCAGCATGAAGAAGTACGAAGAGCCGCTGCAGTCCATGATTTCGCAGACACAGAGCCTGGGTGGCCCCGGTCTGGACCACGACATCCCTCATCACCCCAGCGCTGACATGGGGCAGCAGATGAGCCTGATGATGCAGAGGCTGAACCAGGACAGCCTGACCCCGGAGCAGGTGGCCTGGAGGAAGTTGCAGGAGGAATACTACGAGGAGAAGCGGCGCAAAGAGGAGCAGATCAGCATCCACGGCCGGCCCATGCAGGACATCATGATCCCGCAGTCTATGGGAGGCATGATGATGCGCGGGCCCCCGCCGCCGTACCACAGCAAGCCTGGAGAGCAGTGGCCACCCGGCATGGGCGGCCAGCTGCGAGGACCCATAGATGTGCAGGACCCTATGCAGCTGAGAGGGGGGCCGCCCTTTCCCGGGCCACGATTCCCTGGCAATCAAATGCAGAGAGTCTCCGGCTTTGGGGGGATGCAGAATATGCCCTTGGAGGCTCTCGGGCCCATGAACGCCATGCAGAGGCCAGTGCGGCCTGGCATGGGCTGGAGCGACGACATGCCTCCCATGGGAGGCCCCGGCAACTTCCCGCAGGGCACCCTGCCCTACCCGTCAGGGCAAGGCGACCCCGAGAGGTTCATGAATCCGCGCGCCAGAGAGGAGATCCTGCGGCACCAGCTGATGGAGAAACGCCCGGTGGCGATGCAGAGGCCCATGGGGATGTCCGGCAACTCCATGAGCCAGGGCATGGAAATGGAGAGGATGATGCAGGCTCACAGGCAAATGGATCCATCCATGTTCGCCGGGCAGATCGCGGGGGACAACGTGGGCAGCGCCCCGATGGGGATGGAGTTTGCGGGCACCCGGGGCATGCTGAGCCCCCCTATGAGCCAGTCAGGCCTTCGGGACATGGACGCCCCCATGGGCCCCAGCAACCTCAACATGAACATGAATGTTAACATGAATATGAACATGAACCTCAATGTCCAGATGACCCCGCAGCAGCAGATGATGATGTCGCAGAAGATGAGGGGCCCCGACATGATGGCCCACCAGGGCATGAGCCCCGAGGAGCTGGCCAGGGCAAGGGCTCAGAACGGCAACGGCAGCGCCATGCTGGCGGGGCCCCAGAAAATGATGATTCCCTCGCAGTTCCCCAACCAAGGGCAGCAGGGCTTCTCGAGCGGCCAGGGACCCTACCCCAACATGCCCCAGGAGATGGGCAGCGCCCCGGACACGTTCATCCCCTCGCAGAGCGGCATCGCC